CAACTGTGATAAATATGGAGCATGAGTTGTTTTTAGGCAACCTATCACATAAAGCATGCAATAAACGTCCAAATATACTTACGTACAGCTGTATTTGTATTGCTCTTATATACGAAAGTGCGTTTATCCTTTTCCCGCAAACACTGAGCAGGAGAGCTCTTTAGTAGATGGCGAAAATCTGATATCCACGTGACGTCATTCGATAAAACTGCCTTTGATCAAACCTATTTAGTCTACTGGTCTATTAGAAACTGCGCGTACAACAAAAAGACACGCGAATTTCTTCAGGAGCAAAACGGCAGCAGAAGAAAAATTATGTGAGATAAACGTGATTTGAAGATTTGCTATGCAAGACCACAGTGTACATGAACTGACGTAAATGACTACGACTGGGAGGACAATACTGGACTAGGCGTTAGAGCAGTGTCAGAAGGTCGTATGGGACTACGACAGAGAGGACAATACTGGCCTAGACAGTACAGTAGTATAAGAAAGTCGAATAAGAATATGGCAGCGAAGGGAATATTATCCGAAACAGAAGAGTAGTATAAGAAAGAACCCTTCTTTGTCATAAGGATGTCATTGGTCTATATGACTACACGAATTCTTGGTGGCACTGTAGAATGGTATTCCTAAAGTACTTGAGGGAAAATATCACCGCAATATTGACCTGCTAATTAAACCTGTCCAATTGCTTCTTTATTGTAGCAAGTTCCCGGTTCTCAATTAGATGTGGGATTATTCTGTGACAGCTTATGAAATAGGCTTGTGTTTTGATAGAGCTTTGCCATTATTGAGTGATAAGACACGGCTAATGTGGCGAGGAGATGGAACGCGAGCTGTCAACGAACGTGAAATCGAGCATTTTACTTGTCAATTACCTTGTCTGGCAGTCGGGAGTTGGAGATAGAGATAGAGGCTATTAGTGGTCACTGAGTGTTACAATTAATTAGAAACCGAATCTATCATTACAAAATCACCTAAGTCAGGCTTGATGCAGAATTAGTTGTGACTGGCGACAGAGTTAGGCCGCTTGGTTGACGTGGTACTTGTCAACCCCAGGCTATGTTCATCAATTCGGTTGGCATGACACATTACAGCTTTGCGAAACGCCTTTTCATGACATTAAAATGATAACACGAATATATGTGATACAATATGGCATGATTGTCGTAAAAGACATATCAATACCGGGTGATCATAACCATGCTCTGTTATTGTATTTCTGTTTTGTATAGTGCCGACAATTCAGACCTGTGAACACCTTCATACTAACCGTGTTAAAAGGTTTAGATATGATGTTGCAGTTGAGGAAGTAGACATTATATATCTATTAACACACAGGGGATAACTTTGTTACTTACTGAGGGATTTAGACCAATTTCAATATGTAGACACAAAGTCCAGATTAGCCACATATGTCACTATGAAGTCCATCTAAGGCCACATCGTCCCACTTACCATATGTACTTGTCTCAACGGCCTTGTAGCTTATCTAAGCTTAAAACCCGACCTTGACGGACCCAAGAAGGCTTACATCGATATCACACAAAAATAATCTTTTTTTTAAGTGTTGGTTTGTTGGTTGTTGTTTAACGTCGAACTCAGCAATATGACGGCGGACTGTAAATAAACAAGTCTGGAGCAGACAATCCAGAGATCGACTACGGGAGCAAGGAACCACGCCGTTGGGGTACGATGACACGCAAACAACCAAGTCACCGAGCCTGACCACCCGATCCACCCAGTCACCGAGCCTGACCACCCGATCCACCCAGTCACCGAGCCTGACCACCCGATCCACCCAGTCACCGAGCCTGACCACCCGATCCTCCCAGTCACCGAGCCTGACCGACCGATCAATTCAGTCACCTTACGATGGGCATAGGTTGCCGGGGAGTCATAATAACCCTCAATCCCAACGGGAATTATTTATAGTCAATAAAATCTTGTTATTTCGAAATACTTGGGACCATCAAACATACATTAGCAATTCTAATCTGCTTATTTTCCTAAACCATACATATAAACAAAATTCATTCTTTAAACCATACCTACTTGATAAAAGAATGGATCCTTTGGTTAAATCAACAATGTATTTGGTATAGTGGAGGTAAGCAGAACACAATAGCTTGTCTCATTTTAAAAGATGGTATTTTCTTTTTTGTTCATCTCATCTAGCGATCTGACAATTTGATATTTCCATGAGTGGCGAAGAAACAAGACGAAATGTCAAAATTTGTCAGGTTAATGAAATAGAAAAATAGAATTGGTCCCCAGTAAACTAAGCTTATCGAAGTAACCTATGCTTAACGTAGTAACCTATGTTTGTCGTAGTAGCCTATGCTCAACGTAGTAACCTATGCTTAACGTAGTAACCTATGTTTGTCGTAGTAACCTATCCTTAACGTAGTAACCTATGCTAAACGTAGTAACCTACGCTTGTCGTAGTAACATATGCGTAACGTAGAAATATATGATTAACGTAGTAACCTATGCTTAACGTAGTAACCTATGCTTAACGTAGTAATCTTTGCTTAACGTAGCAACCTATGTTTGTCGTAGTAACATATGCTTAACGTAGTTACCTATGCTAAACGTGGTAACCTATGCTAAACGTAGTAACCTATGCTTAACGTAGTAACCTATGCTAAACGTAGTAACCTATGCTTAACGTAGTAACCTATGATAAACGTAGTAACCTATGCTTAACGTAGTAACCTATGCTTAACGTAGTTACCTATGTTTGTCGTAGTAGCCTATGCTTAACGTAGTAACCTATGCAAAACGTAGTAACCTATGTTTGTCGTAGTAACCTATTCTAAACGTAGAAACATATGATCAACATAGTAACCTATGCTTAACGTAGTAACCTATACTAACCGATGTAACCTATGCTTAACGTTGTAATCTATGCTTAACGTAGTAACATATGCTTAACGTAGTAACCTATGTTTAACGTAGTAACCTATGCTAAACGTAGTTACCTATGTTTGTCGTAGTAACCTATGTTTAACGTAGTAACCTATGCTAAACGTAGTAACCTATGCTTAACGTAGTAACCTATGCTAAACGTAGTTACCTATGTTTGTCGTAGTAACCTATGTTTGTCGTAGTAGCCTATGCTTAACGTAGTAACCTATGCAAAACGTAGTAACCTATGTTTGTCGTAGTAACCTATGCTTAACGTAGTAACCTTTGTCTAACGCAGTAACCTATGCTTAACGTAGTAACCTATGCTTAACGCAGTAACCTATGGGGCGAGCAAAATTAATCCGGTTGGCAGAAATATGATCAACATAGTAACCTATGCTTAACGTAGTAATCTATGCTAAACATAGAAACACTAAGAAACACTAAGGGGCGAGCAGAAACGAAGACTTGGTTATTGCTCACCCTCATACTCCTAGACGTTGGACATTGCTCATAATATCATTCACTGGTTTTCTGGTGCATACTCCATTAAATACAGGCCGCCGTCAAATAGCTGGAATACTGCTGACAGTTATGTGACAAACAAACATTATTAGACTGATAACGTGTATTTCAGAATGTACATAGACTTTAAATTTGTAACATTACCTTTGTTTCAAATTGAAGATCACTGATTATTACATAAACATGAAAAAACATACAAGAAGTCCCTATGGATAATGCAGGATTTTTCTAATAATGTGACATGACATTCAAATGAACTAAATGTTTAATCCCAACGTTTAACCAACCCTGAATTAAACGTGAATATCATCAGCAAGGTTATGAGGGGCGTTCAATAAGTTTTGCAACTTGGGTATTTGTGTTCACACAAACAATGCCAACTTTAGGCAGGTGTGACACTAGTCATAACATCAGGTTGACACGTGTCATAAAAAGTTCCAGACACAACAATATGTTAGATGTGATGGCTTCATTCACTTAAGGGTGGTCACACTCATGGAATCTATTCGCCAGAAACGCCGTGGGATGTTAACACGTGGTATTATACTTTTGCATGACCACACTCCGGTTCACAAGTCGAGAATTGCACAGGCCGCCATATGTGAATGTGGATTCGAACAGTTAAATCACCCACGCTACAGCCCAGTCTTAGCCCCCAGTGACTATTTCCTGTTCCGGCAAATGAAATCTGCCCTACGTGGAAGACGCTTCCAGGATGACGAGGACAGAGGCGTGGTTAGAGAGCCAATCTGCGGATTTCTATAAAAGTGGTATTAAAAGCTTGAAGGGCAAATAGAATAAGTGTATTGAGGTGAATGGTGATTATATTGAAAAATAAAACTGCAAAAGATATTCTGCGACTTGGTCTTATATTGAGGTTGCAAAACTTATTGAACGCCCCTTGTATCTTCGGCGAATAATTTTAATCCGTTTTTAACTCATCTGAAAGTGAAGACAGTCTATGAAATTATGTGCCGTCCGCCTGTCAGTCATCCAGCGTTATCAATTTGGAAACTGCTGAAATTTAGTTAAGTGAACGATTATAATTATACGATTCAAATAGTATAAGATTGACGTTCAACTTCTACCATCGTAGATTATGATGCCAAAGGTTTGTTCTCCGTTCTGACAATAACTTGTTCCAAATGAGCCAAACTCAACATGGGCTCTAATGTATAACCAGAACGAGAAGATCAGGAAAAGTATCAAAATTAAATTAAAAAGAAAATAGGTTTAGAAAGTGTCGAAACAATAAAAGTTAAGTTGTGTCATTATTTATTTCAAACACTCGCAGTATCTATAGACATAACAAAGCTAACTTAGTAGGTAATTTTAGCACAATAAGAAGAAACATTGGCAGAAAAAGCTATAGTAATTTATCTGAAAATGAATAAGTTATTATGAACAAGCTACTTGCAATTTGAATGAAGTTCAAAACAGTTTATATCAAACAAAACACAAACACACCAATCACAAAATATAGCTGCTAGTGTGGTTGTGTTTGTTTTAAATTTTAACACGCTCCGGATGAAACGAAGATGTGTAAAGAGTTTGGAACTTACCTGATGGGGAGAGAGAATGTATCCGTGGCAGTGTCAGTGCTTGGTGGGCGCGGTGTTACTGCCGACAAAGTAGACAAAAATATACCTATGAAGCAACAGAGTTGACGTATAGCATTCGAGGCCATGTTCCCTGGACAGTTCGTGTGGACGGAGGGAGGTGAGATGCGCCAGCCGGCCGCAACTGCCCTGCGTTCTGTTTAAATATATAGCCAGTTCATCCTAAATGGATTGATAGCAACAGGGTCGATGAAACCACGTGGCGCCCTAATGGGCGGGGCAGACTTGTCACCTGTATATGTACATTAGCATACGGACGAACGGAGTGGTGTCGATATTGATTCGGCTCGGGGTAAAATTGGATTAAGATCAATGGAAACTGTTTTATCAGTAATTTACAGTTATCCAATACCGTTTCATTAACTGCAGCGTATGGGTTCGGCGGTGGCATCAGCCGCATACGGTTTTATAACAGGCAGGCTATACCTGTAATGAAAATTATGCTGGGTTGTTCTATAACTTAAATGTTACTGAAGAAGCTGGACAGAACTTTTCAAAGTCGGTTAACATACCATTACGCCGCGCATATACTGCGGGTGGCATTTAATGAGAAGTCTTTGAAGTATTCGATCCGGTGGACTTCTCTGAACCTTGTCTCCTTGATAGTGTACCCTTTTCGTTGCAAAACAAAACGACTTGACTATCACAAGTCTTCTTAATTATTGGTACCATTTTGACGATAAGTTGCTGTTCAGACGTTGGACAGCTGTGTGCTTGGTGTAGACCAACCATATACAAGAAGCAGATGGTGATGCATGTCATTCAAATGTAACAACACAATTGGCATCAGTATAGTAGATGTGCGCAACAGCAAATTACCTTAGCGGTCCCTTCATTATAGATTGCACTGTACTCTTCAGTAGGATAATGACAATATGTGGAAAGTAGTTGTGGCGTGAATAGGTAAGAACATCGAGAGCAAACGTTTTGTTTGATTGTTTTTTGTTTGAAGCCGACCCCAAATATATTCAAGCTATATAACTTAAGAAAGGTTTAAATAATCGAGTACGGGTCAGAAAATCCAGTGAATGATATTGTTAACAGCTATCACGCCGTCGATGTTCGATGACAAGCTATCCATCCGGTCCATTCCATCGCCTCGTCACCAGACCTATTCTAACCCGGAACACCCGCGGGGCTTGAGAGCACAGGTACAAAATAGCTGCATATAGACATGAGAGAGAATGTTGTCGACATTGCTATTTTGTAAAACCTTTTGACAAAGTCCGTTATATAGTGTTTTACTTACTAAATCAGTAACAGACACTGACATGTTAAGTCTTATGTCAATTCATTTTTACATTTACAGCATACTAAGTATATAAATCCTATTAGGTCACATTGGTTGACGCGATTTTTTCACGTGTTGTTCGATGAAAACGCCATGTATTGGTCGCCATGTTGCTCTTTTCTCATAGACGATAACTACTTCTAGCTTAAAAGTTAGCATTAAAATACTATTTTGACTATCTCTATACCTGGCTAATTCGTCAGATGTCTTTGACGTCCATGATTCAGGTACTATTATTTAATTTACTTTTACTAGGATTATTAATGTTAAGTTACATATTCAAGTATCTGCCTTTGATTATTGTCATAACACCACAAAATGAAGCCATTGATGCCAACATTTATCAGAGTTTTTGTAGAGTTTTTTTTATTTGGAACGGACGGACGGCTGACACTTACTAGGTCCCTGTGTGGACCATGCCGGTGGAACTATGATTTCAGTTAGACTGAATCTGTGCACAAAGTGGTGTCGTTGGCTATTTGAACTGTGATCGGAATATGTTCGTGACCAGGATCCAGATTGTGTCCGATCGGTGGAGTTTTCTGTATCACATTGAGTATTCACCAATTTTGCTTTGCCACGATTATGTTAGTTTGCCAGATTGTATTCGCAATTGTGTAAATATTGAATAATTGTAGGTTTTGGTAATAATTAGATATTGTTAATAGTGAAACTGAGTTGGGTCCTTCCTTTTGTTACTTGAGACACCGAGTCAGTCGTAACAATACGTATTGCCATAACGTCTTTACTTATTGATCTTCAGCATTCGAAAACTAGTTTTCAACTTAAAGGTACATCGATTATAAATACATAGTGTGACCTTATCATTATTACTTCTAATAAAATACATCATTGTGATATTCTTAAATAATTCACACTGTCCTGACACAAGAAGGGACATACTCAGATAAAATATTATTAGTGTCCTTGTAACCAATTGTAATAAAATATATAGATCTCTTCCAAAGTCTTATTTTTCTCAAACTACTCTCTGAAGAATAAGTCACATATATCTGGGCTGTCAAAAAATAAACCTTGGTTAGAATGCGAACAAGAAGACGAATGTTTGGAACTTGAAATACAACCTACACCTAAATTGAACTTGCTCAATAAATACAAACTAAAACACCCTGAATAGCATACGTCTGGCAGTTGCCTATTGTACAAACACATGTTTATGTCAAAACATTAAACTTTGATGACTTAGGCTGTGGAAACGATCCTAATCTACATATGACACAGATACCAATTTGTTGCCTGTAAACGCATAATCTAATGCTATGAATAGTGTGAGTGGCAGCATGTGAATGAGGCCCTCGTAAAATCGCGAGCTTTGGGTAGTAGTCTGCGGTTGCCAGTCCCTACCTCACTTCCGGAGAAAAGAATTACATCATACGAGGAGTTTCGAGAGGTTTGTGGAAGGCTGGCTGTCTCAATATAAGAGTGAGCGAGCTGTAAAATCATTCCGGATTCAAGAACGGAGCACGTGCCACATTCAAGACATTCGACAGTAACTACATTCTGGACATTCGTGAGGGCCCCGATATTTATTCTAGGCCTTTTATGTATTACTGCTGCCACATATATGGAATGGAAAATACAGTAAGGGAACGCATATTTCATCAAGCCATGATTAGTATGGACAGCTGATTGCAAACATACAACTGCAATAAGTGAACAAAACGCAGCAACGAAACGCACAAGTATGGGGAAATCATGTGTCAACAACGGGTGGTACACGTAGACACAGAGACAATGCTCATGTGCATCGTCAAACGTCGCGTGTTTTCGTTGTGAAAATATGCCAAGACAATAGATGAGTACAACACAGTAAGGACAGTTAATTGGTAGCATCAGGTCCGGAAACTCAATATGCCTGGCTGCAACGGACTGTTAGAAGTCAGTGTAGCGTCACGACTATGGAACCTCTTTAAGCAAACCGGGGACGTTGTTGTGATGGAAAGTGGTTCATGATAGAACATGGACGCAAGCCAAAGACAACCCCTCGTGGCGATCGCGAAATAGGCTTTGATCGCAGCAGGGACGTAATCGCGGACGGGGCGAGTGTTTGAGTTTCAACAGGACACACACTGCTCAAGTCTCGATGGATATGCTCCACAGTTGTGTTACAGGTCCCGTACTGTACACAACCCTGCGCGCCCATCCTGCTCGGCCCGGTCGTCAATCACCCAGGCCCCTGGGACTGACAAATATGAACTTGGAAATGGAGATGGCGGACTTATGTCAAGAAATTACAATTGTTGAGAGTCCGTCCAATTCTCAAGAGAACCAGCCCAGTTCTCGGAAAGGGTCAGCCCAACCCAACTGAAGGGAATCCCTTCACTGTGGTCACCAGAAAAACTGCCAAAAAACAGCCAACATGACATAGTCAAGCCTCACTAAATGTCCCTTACCGTTTTCAGGACAGATACACGTTCTCCGGAACTAGAAACAAAAAAAATAATAATAGATTATAGCGTTCAAGACAGTCAGTCCCCGCCCACCTTAGTCTAGGTGGTAAGGACATTGAAACTATGCCATACAGGAAAAGGCCAAGCCAATGCGCAAACTGTATGCTCTATGGACATACAAAAACATCATGACAGCAAACCTACGCCAATACTTGTCAAGTTCCTGTCTTACCGCAGCAAGAAGGCAATCCAAGCTTAAGTCAAACAAAGGGAAAATATACATCTACGACGATTTGACAAAATACAGATCAAGGACCGCTGCCACAGCTCGAAAGCTACAGATGGAGAGTAAAATAACCGGTACGTGGACCAGCGACTGGGAGTTGATTGGTTGGTTGGTGGGGGTGGGAGTGCGTGGAACGCCCAAACAATGGATACTAAAACCTGGTAACGAAGTTAGTCAATATACAATGTAGTGTTTTAAAGCCTAAATACACATGATGGTCACCGGAAAAATGTGTATAATAACTAAGTTGCATGTTATCTTCTTGATAACTGAGGTGTGTGCTATTCTCTATGTGTATCAAGTTCCGGATATTTCTAATTGTTCTTTGTATAAACAAAGTGTTTTTATCAGAAATTGTGTAAAGTCACCCAACATCCGCTAAATCGGCGATTATGATTTCAGTTTGTTTTGATTTTTGTCATTTACATGGATTTAAGGACAAATATAATTATCCCTCTTACACCATGGGGATTAAGTTATTAATAATCAATGTATCAAACATTTATAAGTTGATAGCTGTTTGCACGTTTAGATTTTATAAACCAATAAGGTTTCAGTTCGCTATTGCACATGAAAAACTTAATGTGCGTTACGGGTGAAGGTTAATATTTTATTTGTAGTATGTGGGTTATAAATCATGATAAATACAACGTATTTACATACTTTAGTAACTTAGACATAGTTATACTTTTTAAATACGTTTAAGTATAATTAATAAGTAAGCAACGTTACTGTACGAATCAACACTCATGAACTCAATGCATGATATCGGATGCACGAGCATGTATGTTCTGCAACTAGAAGCGTTTTACTATTATTTGTGGTAACATAATGATGAGAGGGCTGGTAGTTTTTCGATGTTTCCGAATCGGGTACTGGGTTATGTACAAGTTATTGAAGTCACCCACATATAAGGGTTCCGTAAATAACTGTTTCCCTGTTCTTTCAGATATATTTTCTTACCTGCGGTAATGGTAATTATCTCATTCTCAATTTTGCTTTTTATTTGTTTGTTCGTTTTGGTAATTTACTGTTCACTTAAACAAAAAGAATTGCCATTTGACTTCATTATGTTCACATGCCAAGCTAGCGCTAATGTGTATTTTATGATACTTGTAGATTTGAATTTGTTAGAGCCCACTGTGTTATGAACTCAGTTCA